CTTTCTGCAGCTTTCTTTTCTATCTAATATTTTTCTTCTTCAATTATGTTTTTAATTATGTTATTTATATGTTATTCTTTTCATTATGTCCTTTCAGATTTTTATTATGTTATTTCTTTTCATTATGTCCTTTCAGATTTTTATTATGTTATTTCTTTTTATTATGTTTTTATGTTTTTAGGTTTGTTATTAATATATTCTAATTAATTTTAATTTTTAAGCAGTAGGTAGGACCCATGAGATGAAGCGGACTGTTGTTTCAGCAGCGTGCAGAGCTACTTCTATTTTCTTATCTTTCTTTTATTCATCTTCTTTTTTTCTTTTTCAGGAATGATCGAGCAATCACTGCAGCGATATTTAATATGTTTTTTCTTTTCTTTTTCTTATTTTTTCCAATTTTTTTTTCAGGATAGATCATCAAGGCATAGGTTCACCTCTGGTCGAATGCGTCATCGCCTGGCATAATTCATCATCGATTTTTACGCGATTTTTACGCGATTTTTACGGGAAGGATAGGAAGAACACTGGGTGCAATGAAACTTCGTTTGATTGCTCGTATCGAAAACGCGAATTTAGAGTAGAGTCACTGTTTTTCTAACACTCACGTGAATGAACGCGGGTGCGACTTAAAAGTCCTACCGGGGACTTCGTTTATATTTGCTCGAATATTCAATTAGATTTCATCGCGAACGCGTAGAGTCACCGTTTTCCGAATACTTGCGTGGGTGTCCGGGCGCGAATAAAAATCCTACCATGGACTTCGTTTTAGTGTTGAAATGCGGGATGCGCGAACGGTTTACCTTGTAGTGCTGTACATAGTTAGCCGATGTTATGACAATCCTCATATTTGGTAGCGGGGCGGAAATCTCGACAAATATCATGGAAAGTCTAAATACCGGTTAACATATGTCACTTTGGATTTCAACTTAGAGTCACCGTTATTCTAACACTCACGTGAGTGTTCGTGTGCGCGATTAAAAGTCCTACCGGGGACTTCGTTTTGTTTGCTCGAATATTCGATTAGTTTATTTAGAGTAAAGTCACCGTTTTCCGAACACTTGCGTGGGTGTCCGGGCACGATTAAAAGTCCTATCATGGACTTCGTTTTAGTGTTGAAATTCGAGGTGCGCTTCGGATTTCAACTTAGAGTCACCGTTATTCTAATACTCACGTGAGTGTTCGCGTGCGCGATTGAAATTCCTACCGAGGACTTCGTTTTATTTTTTCGACATTTTGATTAGATTACTTCGCGAATTTGGATAGAATAGTAGAATCTACGTAACTATGATACACGTGAGTATCGCGAACGCGATTAATGCGCTTTGATTGTTCGAAATTCGGAAGCACGAATTCAGATGTGCTTAATAATCCGTTATGCCTGAGGCGGAGGGTGTTGAACGGTAAAGCTTTCTGTAAGTGGAGTCCCTGTAGCTAAGGCTAGATACTTCCTGTTAGCTTTGAACCATGCCCAAAATATCCGAAGCGGAAGACATAAGGGATCGGTATCGCGGTACGCGGATTTTAGAGTAGAGTCACCGTCAGTCCGTGGGTCTCCACATGCAGCAACTTCCACGTAGTGAGACCTGGGTCGGTATTACTTGCATATTCTAATTATAAATTCTTTAACGCAAGTACTACTGAGCGAATGGCTGCATATTGTATTACTTTTCCAATATCTTCTCAAACTAATTCCAACTAAACATTAATATATTTTTATTTTATATAGCTAATAATACTTCAAAAGAAGAAGTATAACAGAATTAATTGTACAATAATTTCTAAGAGATACGAAAAGGGAATTTTTCTATCTCTCTTATATGTCCGCTGTCATTTCTATTTATTTTTATTTAATCTCACTAATTATCTTTTATATATCTTGGGTGGGACCTATGGGAGGGGTCTGTGGGCGAGGGCTTCTGTGTGGGCTACTGTCTCAGCATCATGTAGAGCTGCTTCTGTTTTCTTTTCTATCTACGTCTCTATTTTCTTTTCTTTCTCTACTTTCTCCTACTTTCTCCTCTATCTCACTTTTCTCCTCATTCTCTTTTTCATCTTCATTTGTGTCGAGTGGAACGATATTCAATATATCTTTTTCTGAATTCCATCGTTGTCACGTTCGCGCACGTTCTGACTTTCTTTTCTTCTCTTACTTTTATTTCCTCCTTCTCTTCTTCTTCTCCAGACTGGATCGTCGATGTATATATCCTGTTGTGGTCGGATAAGTTCGATGTATTATCGAATGGCTCAATTCATAATCAATTCTTACGCGAAAATAAGAGAAGTATAGGAGAACACTAGCGCGCATGTCGGCGGTCACAGCCGTGGATGTTCGGCCGCGATTAAAGACCCTACCGTGGACTTAGTTTTATTTGCTCGAAAATTTGATTAGATTACCTCGCGAACGCGGATTTTAGAGTAGAATCAGCGTTATTTCAACACACACGTGAGTGTCGTGGGAGCGATTATAAATTCTACCAAAGATTACGCTTTTATTATTCGAAATTCGAAAATTATGTCTGAAGCTGATACAATGAACGGAAACTATCTGTAAGAAGGGTCTCATACTTCTCTTGTTAGCTGAGAATCGTGAAGCTCCCGAAGCGGAAAGGCATCACCGATCGGTATCGTAAAATGTTGTTTTTTAGAGGAAAGTATCAGCGTTAGCCTGTGGGTCTCCATATGCAGCAATCTCCACGTGATGAGACCTGGGTCGATAGTACTTGCGATATATCGAAATCTTAAGTAAGTACTAACAAGCGAATAGCTGCATATATCAAGATTTTGAAAAAATCTTTTCATTTTAATTCTGATTGAACATTAAATTTTAAGTAAAAGTATTAACACTTTATATTACTAATAATACTTCCACAAATAAATAAATAGGATATACTAGAATTCTAAAATAATTTCTTAGAGAAACTCATTGAAAACTTTTCCATCATACTTATGCTCCCAATCATTCGTCTTTATTTTTATTTATTAATTATTAATTATTAAATCTCGGGTGGGACCCATGGTTAGAGCCCATGAGTGTGAGCTTTTGTACGGACTTCTATCTCAGCATCGCGTAAGTCTGCGTCCTTTTTTTCTTTCTCTTATTTTCTTTTTTTTCCTTCTTCGGCTCTCTTTTTTTCTTTCACCACTTCTCTTTTCTATGTCACATTTGTTCTCTTTCACATTGTTTCACATTGTTTCTCTTTCTCTTCTTCTTTTCCAGCTATCATCGAGGGATCATCGAGGCATCGAGCATAATTCTGACTAAACAAAAGTATTTATACTTTATATTGCTTCTTATATCTTCCATATATTCAGTAATAAATAAACATTAATTTCTATTTATTGAATCGCATAGCTATATAATAGTTGAAAGAATTATTCTATATTAATTATTTTATTAATTATTATATATATTAATTATTTGTCTCGGATGGGACTCTTAAGTGTAGACCCTTAGGATGGGACTTTAGACGGATCTCCTTCTTTCAATAAGATAAAATCGAGCTTGATTTTGGTGCTTTGGTTTTGATCAAGTGGGGCAATCATCGAAGGATAGATTCATCTTCGATCGGATGAATCCGATATATCTTCAAATAGCTCGGTTCATCATTGATTTTTACACGAGAATACACGAAGAATAAGGAGAACTTTAACTTACATGAAACCGATTGTTATTTAAGCGTAGAAGGGTATATTAAACAAACTTATATACCGATAAACGCGTGGTGGGAACAGCTTGCGGTTGTAGTTCATATTTTGTCCATACCTGTCACTGAAGTCATACACGCTTCGAACAAAAGGTGATGAACATCCTATAAAATATATATATATAATGTACATATAATTTTTTAATTATATGTGTGTGATTATATATATATAATCAATAAATCATCAATTTTTGTTCGTGAATAAATAATATTTCGTTTTATTGCAAAACATACCTGTTTCCATACGATTCTGAAGTAGCAAGCATAAGCCTCATGTTAATGAAATGTCATCAGATTGGGGCCTTAATAAAATGAATTTGTATCATATTTTTTCAGACAACTCTGATTGTTGTAGACAATATCATAAATATCCAAATATATGTTACACGAAAACTTTAGTAATAATATACAAATCAATATGAGTAATATAGCCTAAGAAAAATATGTTTTTTATATTAAGAATATCCTCTATTTTTTTTATATATATCTTATTAACGAATAGCCATCTCATAATTATCTTGATCCTTACATGAAACAGCATCAGCAAGGTAAAATATTTTCTTATATATCAAGGAGTATAGCTATTCCATTCACAATCAACGTTTATTTTACATACACATAAATCTTGGCAAAAAGACGAAACATAAATGGTAATAGTTTAAAAAAATCGACGAGAGAGGAACTGTACCGTGCAGCATGTTGACTAGTTCTAATTTAAAACAATCCATTTTGCACAGTATTTGTAGCAGTGCTTGTACTTTATACAATTGTATAAATTTCTTGTTTTTTTTTCCATGATTTTTTAAGCATGCAGAATAATTACAAATAATACAGATCAATCTGTATTAAATGTTATAGCGACATGCTACATTTAAATTACTTTTTCAGAAAATGTGTATAGCCATTTTTCAAATATGATTATTACAAACATCATATGTTGTAAATACTATAATTTTGTTACTTTAAATGTATAGTTAATCATTTGTATCTTGTTATGCACATATATCATTATCTCATCGATAATAATAGTTCAAGCTATATGTAATTTTATATTTTTTTTTTTTTTTTTTTTTTAAGAAGACAGGTTGAACATTTTTATTAAATATTTAATTTTTTTTTATCTTTTTAGATATTCTTCCATCTTTTAAATTTCTTTAACTTTGTAGGATATTTTAATACTTATTAAATATTTCATAAGTTTGTTGTTATAATTTATATATCTCTGATATGTTTTAATACTTGTCTTTTCCAAAGGGATGACAATAATGGAAACTACTTCTTATTAAAATTGCCTCATCCAGTTGTGTAGGTATTATATTTTGAATATAGCTTTTGCACAGCCTTCATTTCATTTTCACTTAATTAAATCTGCATACATGAAATTTCATGTTAATATTAATAGTAAGCATCACAATGTTTTTTCTTATAGATACTTCAACATCTTTACCTCCATTGCCTATAAATATGTAAGTTATGATCAAGCCATATTACTAAGTGCAATGATTTTAAAGAGTAAATAAAAAAAAATGTAATGCCTTATATTACTACTACAATGCCTTATATATTGTCTAAGAAATATTTGGCTCTATATGAAGTATCCTTAATAATATTGCTTAATAAGTTTCATCTGAAAACAATTTATTAAAGGACTTTATATTCTTAGTTAATAATAATGACTTTATTCATTGAATGGTTTAAGACCCCAATCTAAGTAAAAGATACACTTGTACCACTTAGCAGGAAAACGTAGTTTATGGTTTTTCATAAAATCTACATATGTGCATTCATAGACAGCAAAACTGTAATATAATTGGGTATGTGCACACGAAGAATATGTTAATAATTTATAAGAATTTCGTTCTATAATATCTCTACAATTTACATTTCACAAAAATTTTGAATGCATTAAATACTTATAAAAGTATAATTTTACACTGTTACCCCCGTATATACATATCCCCGTATATACTTACGGTTATATATAGAAAGTTTCTCATATTATCATTCCTAGCTTTAACATCACAATTTTTTGTACCCAATTTGGCTACATGCTGTTACTTTTGCACGGTAAGAGCTATTATTCGCGAAAATATCGTATGTATCCGTTTAATATTTTTCATTAATACTTGATGAGTGTGTGTGTATGTTTGTGTGCGCGCGTGTTTATATATATACACATACATACGCGCGCACACACACACACACACACACACACACTTGTAATATACGATGCAAAATCCAAAATCATGTATTGAGTTAATATCAGAAATTACATACGTATAATAAGCTTCGGTTATTTTTTTGGAACATTATAAAAATTACAACAGGATCAAAATATCTCATCTCTGCTGTGTGGAATTACATACTAAAATACATTATTACATTTTATGACAACCTGGAAAACAAATAATTTTCTTTTTATGGCTTAATAAGATCATATGTAAATGTCTATACGCAATATTGTATTTCTATTGATCATTATAACAAAAATCATCTATTCGACATTGGACATAAACATAAAATTTCATTTAAGAGCGATACTGCTTTAGAGAAATTTTTAAATTGATAAAATAACCTCAATGTTTAATCCAAAGAAATATCATTAGTACACATTAAACACACAACATAAAAATTATGCTCTATCCGAGATCAATAATCAAGTTACAGTAACTTTTTATAGCAACTACAATTGTTTTAGAGATACTACATTGTCTGCATGAATATTTACATCTCTCTGTGTATATATCGAACGTAATATTTTAAATGCAAATAACATTTTGCCATGTGGCAACGCGGAAATAGTTGACTTTTACCCATTTTGACGTAAAATGAATATTGCTAAATAATAGTATCTACAAAAAAAAAGAAGAAAAAACAGAAAAAAAGAAAAAAAGAATAATCTCTCTATACATTTAATTCTTGATTTTATATCAATGCTACTTAACATGATATAGCGATCCACCTTAGCTACCTTTGAAAGTGATGAAACATGATAATTGTCATAATTGTTTTATGAAGTTGCATTTTCACATTCACACAAAATAAGTATCCCGATCAGACAACAGTTTACAATTTTCTTAGCATAAATTAATTATATAAAAAAATCATTAATTTACTATAATACATCTAATATCTTATTAAGTGTATCCAGCCTCCCTAAAACGTTTTCATTTTGTTGCGTGTTTCAAGTCTTTTTCATAGTAGTAAAATGGTCAACTTCTATCGTATCATAGAGCGTAGAAGAAATCCAGATATGGCCATAGCAGACGGCAAATCCATGGGATGTATTTATATGGTTTTAATATACTGTTCATTACTAAACGCAGTGTGTGTGCCTCAAGCGCATATAAATTAATTAATATTTTTATATAAGTCAGTACATATCTCCTATCTCAAGGGAATTTCTTTCGCGTTTCACTGCAAATAACAAACCAAAGTCCATGATTAAGAGTTTTAGGATGTTTATGTCTGTTTAGGCGCTGTTCACACTGGACACTTATTCTTCATGTTTGTGTACACTATCGTGAACACAATCAATTCACTCACTAACCACTTGTCTGAAACAAAATAGTGCTATTATTTTATAGATTTCTTTACTAAATGAGATTAGGAAACATGTATAAAATTATTAAAAGAAATTTATCATTAAAATCTATGAAATTATTATATTATTATATTTCCTCTTTTTTAAATTTTACAAATAAGGTAGACAGACGATAAGTCAAAAATATTATTTTCTAAATGAATATATATATGACCACAAAATTTATTATAATGATATCAATTAAACGTACACTTACAATTATATCACAATAAAGGAATCTTCCTGTTGATGAGTCACTCAAATGCTGTAAAAAAAAAACAAAAAGAAAAAATGTTAATATTTAGAAATAAAAATATATTTACATTTGCATATAAAAATTGAATCTAATTATACATACGAGAAGGAGATCTGGTACCAGATTGATTGGCAGCTAAAGCATTGATTGGTGCTGGACCGCTAGATACAGATCCATTTGATGGATTAAAATTAAGGAAATCCCAAATTAGTATCGTGTCATCATGTGATGATGATACTATTTGGAATTCGTCGAATTGAAGACGAAATACACGCCCAGTATGTTCCTACATTCGTATAAAATTCGTACAAAAATATATAAGACGAATTTGATTATACCAGGATAATAAAATTATTATAAAGATCTTACCACTAATGTACGCAGACATAAAGTGTTTGCAAGTGCACGCGGATCTAATGCAGCTACCAAATCCCATACTTTAATTTTTCTACAACATAAACGAGACAAACGTAATGTGAGCATCATGAGTGGTCAGTAATCTTTTCTGTTACTATGTATTAAATTTATAGAAAAAATATTAAAATTTATCATTATTACAGAGATAATACATACCCATCATATGCTCCACTAACAATATGTTTACTGTCAAATCGTATACATCTGACCAGTTCTTCATGACCTTCTAAAACACGTAAACATGCTCCACATTCAATGTCCCACAGTCTAATAGTGTTGTCACTGCTGCCACTCACGACTAAGCGATCCCTATATTGCAAACACGCTATACCCCGTTTATGTCCATTTAACGTTCGTACAAACTCGCAGGTGGACGTATTCCATACTTTAATAGTCCTATCACCACTAGCAGAAACGATATATTTTTCATCAAAATCAACTACATTCACTGCTGCTCTATGACCCACAAGTACTCTTCTCAATGCAATTTCCTTCTGTGATGTCATATCCCAAACTGCTATTGAACGATCCTATACGATAATAAATATTCATGTAATATTTATTAATTAAAAATATGTATTTTGAAATATATTAAGAAAACAACATTTATACTAACCTTCGAGCAAGTGACCATCATACCATTATTAAATCTGAGATGTAATACAGCTTCGCAATGATGTATCAACGTACTAACCATCTCACCTGTTGTCGCATCCCATACTCTTACTGTACTATCCGAAGAGCCTGATATTATGGCTTTGTCATCATATTGTAAACATAGGACAGAACCTGTATGACCAGTCAACACCTTAATGCATTGTAATGTATTTCTGTCCCAAATTTTAATCGTATTATCTCTTAATCCAGAGACTATTTTTTGGTCATCATATTGTAGACAATAAACACCCTTTGAATTTTCACTTCTGCAGTTTATTCTTTGAAGGTTAAATCTACCCATTCTCCAATTATTATCTATACTATCAATATCTTTAACAATCTTGGGATAAAGATTTCTGTAAAAGTTATGATTCGGATGACTCTCTCCTGGTCGAGGTTTAAACAGATATTGTATCCTATGGGAAAAAAAAAGGAAAGTATATGTTAATATCATAATTGTTTAAAAATAATAAACTATCAACATGCATACTCTACTTCTTTGAAAAGTGGCTGATACATTTCATAGTTCTTAATAAGGAAATATTCACCATCCTCTCCTTTCTGCTAGGCCTCTCCAAACCGAATCCGTCCTGACTTTACGTTCAATTAATTTCTTCCAAAGCATTCCTTCGCTGATAACTCTATACCATTCTTTGCAAACTAATTCTGCAGCTGTCAATGATTCGGCGTCCAAATATGAAAGAATACTCTCTGCCACATGATCTAATCCTTTTTCTGATTAAAGTATTTCAATCATTTCATAGAGATCGCAACAAATATATATATATATATATATATATATATATATATATATATATTAATATTAGATACAACAGCTCAATAAATAAAGTATACATACTTGGTAAAAGAGAAATAAAATCTCTTTGAAGCATTGGCTTCAGATACGCATTGATGTGTCCATGTTGATAATGACACATACGTGCTAATAATTGTTCAACAAAGTGAACTTGTTCTGGTTCACTCCACTTCTCAAATAATTTCATACAAATTTCTCTTTCTTGCCCATACTGTGGCGATACACCCATAGAAGGTTCTTTCTTACGAGTGGGATCATAGAGAATCGTCATTGGAAACTGTAATCACAAATATACATAAAGAATGAAAATTAACAAAATAATTCCGAAATAAATATTCAAGATTGACAATTAAATAATATTTTTTTGTACACAAACTCGTTTATATTTTCAAAAGACTTGCTTGTGATTCGTTGAGAGAAACATACTTATCACATTGTCGCATATATATTTATATAAGAGATTAAGTTAATATACATACGTTGTAAAATCGCTAATTGATATGTAAAATCGTATTTATTAAAGAGTATTTAAGATGATATTTTTATTATTATTATATTAAAAATTGTTTTAATAAAAACGCGTTCCTCACGTTGCCAACAATTTACCTTGACAACAATTTTTTACCTTTCACATTATCATCCAAGCGTATTGAAAAATTCAAATAATACGTACACATATAAATGCACATAAATCATAAAAATCGTGAAAGAAAAATATCGTCGATCGTCTAATAATACAATAAAGTACAACGAACGGAAAATGCAAATATATTGATCACAAGTCAGTGAGATAATATTATTGCGCGAATAAACAATTATTATAGCAGAGTTCCCGATAACGCGTATATCTAAAATAGATGAGAGAAACAACCTCGACGTTTGCATTAATAATATTAATTCTATTTATTTCCCAAGACGTAATATTCGATTAACGGTCAAACAATGAATAATAATAAAAAAAAGTACAAATAAATTCATATTTATATAACATCATAAAAATAAAATTTATTTTTTTTTTTTGCATAAGAATATTGAGAAGAAATAAAATAAAGGCTAAGTTACACAAAGAATAGCTTGTGCAGCACGGACACTGAGAAACTCAACCGTTTCATCCATACTTTCACCGCACATACACGCGCACTCACATATATAAAACCTTTTGTACTTACGAGGAACATACAGCACCGTTTCATATTTACTTAAGCCATAAATATGACATATTTCTTTTTCTTTCTTTGCGATAAGTAGAATTGACTTTCGTCAACTTTCATTATCTATAAGTCTAAATCTTATCTCTTTAGTTGATACGGATTTCAATACATCAGTAATGTGTGAATCATTAATGTATATTTTTAATGAATAATATATATTCGTGCAATAATATTAAGTATTAATACAATCATAGTAAAATTAATGCACAAAGTATAGAAAAAAGAAATATTCGAAATGATTTAATTATGGATAATTATCCATTCCTTTGATACTAGGAGATCATTGATAAATAATGTTAAAAAAGAAAAAGAAAAAAGAAGAAAAAAATATAACAGGTAAAAAATATAAGAATCTTTCTCGTCAAATAATATAAGTATCGATTTGAAATCACGTTAGGTCAGCAGGTCGTATGTATGAAAGTGCACGAGGGATCGTCGACCTTTTAAAAATCATACTACCTTCCCGCGCCTTGCACGTTTACTTTGCGTATAATCTGATTGGTGGATTATGAAAAATAATCATCATATATAATAGTATTAATGCTTCGTAATTCCAAATTAATCTTTACTATTGAATTGTTTAAGAAAATAAATTAAAAAAATAAATTTTTAACAACAGAAAAATTATCTATTAATTATTAGCTAAATTTTCAAATAAATATACATAAATTTCGAATATACAAACTTTCGAATATTTTTGTTTAATCCTTTTCTTACTAAAGGTTACTATAGTCAGCTGATAAAATTCTCTATGAATTAAGAACTCTAGGTGAACGTAGTATATATCTTGACATCTTCATGGCAATCAACCGTTCGTTATGTTGACATTATTCACTTATGATTCGTTCTATATTAATTTAATATAACTTGTATAAAAAATCAATAATTTGCATAATGATTACAGTTACATGTTGAGCAATTTCGCCCTAACAAAAAAGCTAATAAAAATAAACGAACATTCAATAACAGAAAAATCATAGCATTAAATCTTTGTTAATTTTTGCACTTATTTCAAACAAATAAAGATTTACAAAATCACTTTTATTTATTTCTTCAGAATTTTTATCATTTATCAATAAAAGCATTTTGTAAAATAAATGACCAATATATATATATAGGTCAGTATAAATGCTTAAGTGTTAGGGTTACATTAGTATATTATAAATACTGATCATCAAATCATCAAGATATTAGTATATTAAAAATACTGATTCAATAAATAACAACAAATATTGATGCTTTGTAATTCCAACTTATTTATCTTTATTTTCAAATAATTTAACAAAAATAATCTAAATTATGAATTTTCAACGACAGGACAATAATTGATAAATCTTTATTATTCATATACCCATACCATATATATCGTCGCATATCTATCTATATTAAACGAATTTGAACGAATAAAACTCAAGAAAAAATATTTGCATTATTTCCTCAATTATATCGTTCATGTTGATCGTTTCTAAGTTGATGCTGCCGGGCGGTCTGTGTCTACCATAATAATAAAGAAGAAGGTCTAGCCACAGACGAGCGTAGAGCTCTCAATTGCCTGAAAATGCTACAAGTGCTCCCAAGCTAACGGTACTGCGAACTCGTGTCGAATCTACACGTTCCTCGGCTCTTTTGTCTTCGCGCGCACCTTTGCAAGAATTCTGAAGCACCGCCTCACAAAACAATATACGTATATAATAGGCATGAGACACATACATACATATACATACATACATACATACATATATATATATATATATACGCTATGTCCTACTTAGAGGAACCAATATGCGCGATTATTTCCTTTATTGCTTATCCGTTATATTTCGGATGGGTCAGTTATGCAATCTAAACAAAACAAAAAAAATACTATGAGAATACACCGTGATTTAAATATTATTAGTTTCTAATCAATATTTTATTGATTTTTTTTTTTTTTTTTTTTTTTTTTTACGAATAATAGGAGAATTTTATTGTATTTCAATTGTGGCCATTTTTTTTATCGCGCATACGCTCATACTTTGTATACGAAGGAGCAGATAAATTGGGAAATTAAAATTCGCGGTATTAATTGAGCAAATTATAGCACAATTGAATAAATCAAGTTAATTACGAATTAATCTACAGTTGGAATCATTTTTTGGAATTGACTGCGATTTGTTTCATTTGTGTATTTTTATTTTATTTCTAACACATTTGACCACAATAATATTTCATCAAATAAGATCAATTATATCGAAGTTTTAAATCTGCTCCTTTAAACTTTTTAGTGAATTTATAAAAAATAAAAAAAAAAAAGGAAATAATTCCGACTAATCAAAATCAACTACGCTAACGAAATAATGTATCATTTCTTTTATATGTATATATGATACTTTTGATTAGCGCACTTATTTTTTTTATTTAAATGAATTATGACGAAATCATTGCGTTCATTTCTAAATATAAAAAGTGTTAAATATTTTTCTTCTATAATTTTATTCATCGGGACGAAAAAGTTACATTTTCATGGTGCGAAAAGAAAAAGTATCGTTTCTGAAAAAATGAAATGTCATTCTTTTTTAATTTTATTCATAACGAAGCAAAAATTATATTTTCGTGACGAAATAAATATCGAATTTCATCAGATTTCATTGATGTATAAAGAAATGTCAATATATCATTTTATATAGCCTTTAATGGCTGATATACAATATCCCTTTAAAAGTTCCAATTATCGGATATATTCGAAGATAGTTCGTTCATAATGTGAAGGTAAAAAAGAAAAAAAAAAACAAAATAATAATAATAATAATAATAAAAAAAACAGTAAGAATGAGGAAAAAAGGCATTGAAAAGTTACGGTATTAAATATTATAAGGGAAAATGTGACGAAGGAGAAATAATATGACACAAAGAGGAAGCTGAAACATTGATTATGTAGTGTGTAAGTTATTCACAGATTCGAGAAATCACTGTGGAAGATAAAAACAGAGAGAGGGGAGAGAGAGAGAGAGAGAGAGAGAGAGAGAGAGAGAGAGAGAGAGAGAGAGAGAGAGAGAGAGAGAGAGAGAGAGAGAGAGAGAGAGAGAAAGGAGGAAAAAGAAAGAAAAAGAGAGAAATAAGGCAAAAAGAATTATCTCACTTATATACGAATTATTCATTTACGTGTCAAAATTTCAATTCATCAAAGTTACTATTTCAAATATTTAAAAAAACTTCCGTTTGATTGGTTGTATTGTTTACTGATTTATAAAGCGTGTATATCTACGAAAAAAAAAAAATCTCGAACTTTAATTATACAAATAATAAAAATGAACAAAACCATCGAGATAGAGATTTGCTAGGCATTTTATATCGATTTAATTTCCCAAAGAGGATTATAACGATTTGTGTGTTCCCGCCAAGATGCGCGTACAGAAGCACAAATTAATTTACTATTGCAATTGATTATGCAATATGACAAATAAAATACTAAGGCTATAAAGAAATATAAACTGGAGTACCGTGAAAAAAAAAATTCAACGTTTAAAATGTGGAACACATTTGATTGTTAGTAAACAAAATATTTGGAATAAATAATTTGAAAATAATTTATTTCTCTGTTGGATATACAGTTTGTACTTATTTATTTTCAACAGATATATTTCTATTCATAAAAATAAACATGATAAGAAAATATCGAATTAATCCGTATCGTGGGTCTTATTAGAAAAATATAAAATAAAGCATAATTCATAATGATCGATAAAGATAAATAATAAATATTGGACAATAGCTTTCCCCATTTCAGAACTGTAGCACTAATAATTAGAATAAACAATATAAAAGAAACGAAGTTATATAAAATAAACCAATGGGATGAAGTTCGACGAAGAGAGGGAGAGGGAGAGAGAGAGAGAGAGAGAGAGAGAGGAAAGGAGAGAGAGAGAGAGAGAGAGGAGAGAGAGAAGAGAGAGAGAGAGATTATTGATCGTATCAGTCCATAAAAAATATTCCAACGTTGACATAACACCATAATGATATATATATCGATAAACGATTAAATGTTCTTTTTCCGACTTTTGATAAATGTAGCTTAATCAATCACGTGACTCATATATATATATATATATATATATATATATATATATATATGAGTACCAAATAACCCCTGTGAATGATATACACTGACCATTTCTCAAAGTTCCCGTACGAATGTTAGGAGAGAAAAAGGGAAGATAATACTTTAAACGACGTTTAACCTCATTTTGACTCTCGTAGTTATGGATTTATTGAAAGTTCGACGTTTCCGAATAATTCCAGGTGTTATATGAAAAAGCACGTGCAATAAACACGAGCCCGTATTTCGCAAATGAAAAATCACGATATCCTTCTTCCTGCCTTCATTTTTTGTTCTCACGTTCTCACATTTATATACTCTTCGTTCGTTCTACCTATCTCTTTCTCTCTTTCTCTCTCTCTCTCTTTCTCATCGTCCGCACACATACATAGATAGGGTGTGTATATATATACTAACGCACTCAGCTCCTTTCGTCACAAGGAAACATAAGATGGCGGTGGGTTTCGGGTGAAAAATAGTGATACACTGCGCACCTGAAGATTTGTATTTTCGTCGTCGATGATCTTATCCGTTTCCATGTTGAGATCACGTTTTACACGCACCACGCACCGGTCGCACCTCCGTAAACGACGTCGTTCCGAATTTAAAAAGGGATCGATCCGAGTAAAAGCACGCGGAAGTGCTACAAGAGAACGAACGAACGAACGAACGAACGTACGAACGAACGAACGAATAAACGAACGAACGAATGATCGAACGAACGACGAACGAACGAACGAACGGGCGAGTGAACAAATATAAATGATTGAAAGGAAACTCAAGCGATACGAATCGAGCGATTCGATACTGCTGTCTCCGGCGCTGGCGTTGTCGTTGTCGTCGCTACCTTTGCTTCAACACGATCAACGACGACATTCGCGTTCCCTCGCCATATACAGCTAACTCAAGACAACATTTTACTAATATCCGAAGAAAAATATCACCGTGTAGTAAGATATACACACAAGGGACTACGCGTCACGACAAGCTTTAAAAAAGCACCCCGTGTACGATGATATTCCGAGTTGATACGACGATACATATAAGGGGGGGGGGTGGAAAGAGAAACGCCACGGGAGTCGCCGTCGTCGCGTAGGCAGGGCGAACGGCCGCACGATACGATTCGACGCCAGTCTACTTCACCCCCACCCCTCTTTCTCTATACTAACGCCTTTACAAGAGTAACTCCCTCCTTCATCTATCTTTCTTTTACTGAAGTTTGAGATCGCGCGTATATTTTAGGCAGATCAGAGCGTATGCGAATGACTGATGTTATCGACGTGCACAGCACCAGAAGTGCTGAACAGTAGAGTGGGAACAGCGAATCTAGAGACAGAGAAGAAAGAGATAAAAACAAAGATATGCCGTGAACTGTCCTATAACCGTATAATTTTCATTTAGTGGCGCCACTATCACATGCCTTTCAAAATGGCTTCCACTTGCGACAACTCGTTGCGCATGACCAAGAGAACAATGATAAAATACTTTTTTTTATGTGCTATCGCGTATTTCAGTGTGAACATTGACTAACGTCATTGTCTAGATTTTGAACTCTACCAGATGCAATGCCAATTGGATGTAGGATCAACCAATCGTATGTATGATAGTAATCGATCATAAAGTAAACAAAATGATAGATCATTCATCGGATGTATTTTCATAGGTTATCTTATTATTCATAGAGGGTTCTTATTTATAAAGGATTGGAAACAATTTATAGGATTAAAGTATTTAACTTATTACATTGTTCTTTCATTAAATGGTAACAATCAATGTTAAATTGTTTATATTATATCCATTTGATTTGTTCATTTTTGTTATTTTTGGTATTCTCTAGTTGCAATTGCATAGTGAATGCTGCATATGGTTTATGACACATTTGAGAATCTAATGGTGGATAGTAATGTCTATAACATATGTATGTTAAGCAAGATCCTATAAGTCCACCAGCCACAATATCTAAAATAATAAATAGTAAATATTTATTGTAATATTTCTTAGTATATAAATTTACCTTGCCAATGATGATGATAATCACAAGTACGACTTAATGCAATAATAAGAGCAATACAAATTGGAAGAATAAATGAACACAGCTTCCAAGATTGAGCTTTGCCTGTTAAGCTAAATGTGTGAAGTTTTCCTGCTAAATATAGTGCCACAAAGCCAAAGCTTGCGAACGCAACTAAAAATAGAATACATTGATATATGTAAACTTCTATGTAATTACATGCATATAAAAATATTAGATACATACACGAGGAATGTCCACTTGGGAATGATTTTTTTCCATCTCTAATAGTAATTGGATTTCCTGTACATTTAAATTCAGAATTCATTTGCCCATCTGGAAAACACCGCCAAAAGAAATCTGGCCTTGGTCGTCCTAACAGTAAAAAATAGATATATATTAAGATATCTATTCGAGATAAATATACTAATACACAAGTACTAAATCATAAAATAAATTAACTGTTAATAAAAATTTCTAATGCTTACCAACTATAAGCTTTATAATATCTGTAATTAAACCATTAAATCCCAAAGCTAACGTTACACATAACAAAGCTTGAGAAAAATCAATCTTATCCTTATTGATTATAAATGAAAATAATATCACAACAACTGGCATCAAGAATACAAGAGGCTGAAAAATTACAAAATATGTATCATTATATATTTCAATGTCATGTATGTACTAATTTAAGAAATAATAATTAGAAGAATACCCATAATACTGTAGTTGGAACATAGGAATCTGTTTGTGGATTTTTATATAACCATAATTCATCTTCATGTATTTTTCTAGTAAATGGCTCTGCTTGTTCCAATTTTCTATAATTTAAATAATAATAGAATTACTATATGTAAACAATAGTAAAAATATTATATTTAATTATATAATTTATTTGTATACAAAAAGTTTTATCAATTTAAAAGTAACTCACAATATAATACTACTGCAAAGCATTTTATCAAAATACAATATATTATATCTATGCAAATTCGAAAAATATATTTATACAGTGTATAATTTTTTTAAACTAAATATATACTCACAGAAACAATAATGCCAGAATGATTCGTAACAAAACGTCAAAGCAAAATCTCGCTGAAAATTCTATGCCGAAAAGACGTACAATAAGCATCTTAACTACAAACTTTAATAGATTGTATCAATTATCTGTTTAACATCTTTCACGTATAAACCGTATAGATAACATAATATATAATAAATACAAATACTACCAGAATTTTAATACAAATAATACATTACGGTTAATAGTGCACACATTGTTGTGCTTTAGAGACTTAAAAACAAGAAATCGACACGCCATGATAAGTGTCAATCATGGCTGGTAACCTTAGTAAACGGATTGTGTACCAACTGTGTTAAAGTTATTTTATTACATATTCTTTTGCAACTGTAAGTTACAAGAACGGCATTTTAATTGGTTGAATGGTTCGTGCAAAATATCATTTCTATTGGACGAATTATTATAATGTCAATTTTCTAATTGGCCTAAATAAAAAAATATTAATGACCGTATAGAAAATGATAATATACAGCAAATCTATAATAATTACTTTGATTTAACATAATAGAAATAAAGTATTAATGAAAAATTTAATTACTTTTCTAAATTATATTTCAATTCGTTCTAAATTGTAATAACATTTTAATGAAAATATATGTGAAAGAGAATGAGAATCTAAAAAGAACTATGTCTAGTCTTATATATGCAAATGCACATAAACGGATAGCCATTGTAACTGAGCTGATTTTTTCCTGTTCTTCAAAATCGAGGTCATAAATCTTTTACTTTTACTATGATAAAATATGTTGAATTGATTAAAAAATCTTCAGTTTATACATAACATCTCATAGAAGGAATGTTAATATATTGAACAATATATTTATTTTAGTAAGTGTACATACCAATATAGCTTTTGACTCTAATCGTGTTTATGCGATGTCCAATATTATATATGATGATATATATTTTTGATTCAATATTTTCAATCTTTGATTAATTGTTTATTCTAATATTTATTATATTAGTCAAATGAAAGAGATATTAATTTTGTAGTAATCAAAATGTTCGCAGCCTGTATTATAATTGATATTTTTCTTTTGGATTTTAGATAAAGAAAAGAGAATCTAAACAAATTATTTATGTAAAAGAAAATTTGTCAAAGGAACTATTTAAGATTATGAAGATCTCCTATATTCATATTCATATTATTTGTTTATGACATAGTAAAAATGTCATCTGGATTGCTTTCTTCTACTTCACTAGGTAGCTATGAGCTACCAAGTCCGATAGGAGATACAGTGGAAGATAATTCTAATAAATTTACAACATATCTGCATCAACTTGCTGGTATCAATGAAATGGAGGTTGATGTGATACTTAAAGATCATTCTTATGCTCGTCCATGGAATTGGAAACCAGAAAATATTTATGTTAAACCAATAAAAAAATTATTTTTTCCAAAAATTAATTCAGTTATGTAAGTTAATATTTAATTAAATTAATATTTAATTAAATTTTGTCCAAGTAAAAAAAATTATTTCTTATTTAACTTGTAGACAAGATGAAGAGATTGATGTAGAGAAAACTGATGATGAGCAGCAAGTTCCACCTTTAGATTTAACAAGAACGCGACATGTTATGGATGAATTCCAGCGATTAGCAAATTTTGCAAGACCAGATGATAATGATGACTGGGAAGAAAAAATAGACAAGTCAATGTGGACATCTTTACAAAGTCGAATATTTACTAAAGTCATTAGAATATTGAACTCTGAGCGTCTTGCAAGATTAGCAAAGTCAAATGCTATAGTAGAGCCAATTTTTCGTCGTACATCAATAAATACTACAGCAAGACGATTTAGAGAAACTTTAGCATCAGCTGGTTGGGATTGGAGATTAACTCAATGGTTACATGGTTTATTATTTGATCATCTTTCTCAAGAGTACTTAGCTATTTATCTTGACATCTTACAAACATTGAGATTAAAAATTCCACAACTTGTGGATAAAATGATAACAGTACAACCAAATATTAATGCAAAAAATGGTTCAATAACATGGGAAACTCTAGGTTCTCTGTTAAAACGAACGTGGGATCCAATTGCTCCTACATTAAACAATAACAGGCTTGTAAATATACTATGATAATTATATCATATTACTTTAAGACATTCGCTGCGGATGGCGAAATTATTTACGTTGCTATGGTACGTGTGACGCCGTTTGGCGTTATCATCTATATCAAATGAATAAAAAAAAATATAAACTACACCTAGCGAAGGTATTTGATTTTGGAGACGCAGCGAATGTGTTAATCACGTAGAAAATATTTTATGATAATATACCAATATGTTTTATTACAGAAGAAACTCCCAGGAAATCCCATTTTAATAATAGCTCCATCCAGTATTGGGTCCAGTATTTCTTCTCGTCAACATAAATGGATTACACAGTTAGGAGCATTAGGAATGGTTGTTAATGTGCATACACATATAGGATTAGCAGCTAACAGAATGACGATGATGGTATGCATTGATCAACTAATTCAAGCTATGCGAGCTAAAATACAGGATATTAAAAGTGATTGTCCTGGCAGACCAATAATTCTTGTTGGTTTCAATACTGGAGCAGCTTTGGCTTGTCAGGTATAATTATTTTCTATATAAATTATTAACTTATCTGTAAAATAATTAAAATGTAAAGTAAGGTACTTATTTTGTCTACAAATTTATTTAATTTATAGGTGGCACAAATGGAACATGTAACTGCAGTAATTTGCCTTGGTTTTCCTTTTTCTACTGTCGAAGGAAAACGAGGTTCACCCGATGATACGTTACTAGATATTCGTTGCCCTGTTATGTTTATTATAGGACAAAATGCTTCTTTAGTAAGACCTGATGATTTAGAAGATCTTCGTGAAAAAATGTTAGTTGAAACAAGTTTGGTAGTGATTGGAACTGCAGATGATTATCTACGAATATCGACTGCTAAGAAAATATCAGAGGGCATTACACAAAGCATGGTAGATAGATGTATTTTAGAAGAAATAGGTGATTTTGTGGGAAGTATTCTTTTGCAGCCACATCCTTTACCTTTGAGATCTATATCAGTAACAAATTGTGAAAACAAAAACAACAAAAAGGAAAGTCGTAAAAGAAGAAATTCAACCAGTAGCTCTGTTGAGAGCGAACCAAATTCTCCTACTTTAAAAATATCTCGACCAAATACACCAGTTTCTACAGTATCTGTTGGATCTAGTACATCTTTAGCTCAAGTTACAAGAGCTGGATCTTTTAGTACACAACCAACTCTAGTCACAGTGACTGGTCAACATATTAATCAAAGTTCAACAATAAGACGTAAATCGCGAGTTATTAGTAATCCAAAAGCACAATTTGTAGAACATTTGATAACTTCTAGAGTACCTGCACAAGTAATAATAATTCTATAATAACATTTAATTTTGCCAAATTTTGCATACGTATAATTATACAATTTTGTCTTTTGTAGAAAATTACAAATTCAACAAGTGGTGGTATAACTTTAAACATTGGTTCTTTAGCAAGTCTAGCACCAATTGGACCAATACGTTTAGGTTCATCTGTTGATCAAACTAATACAGTTAAGACAATTAATACATCCAAATCTTCAATTGCATCAAATAAAATTCCTAAAATTATATCATCGAATATACCACTTCAGAATGTTCCTAAAATGAAAGCTATTGTTTCGACAAATAAAACTTTTTCAAAAGTAATATCAAGCAATTATAGGCACACTAATATCATCGATAAAAATGGTGATACAAAACTGATTAATGTTTTGACAACAGGAAATCAGTCAAGAATAAATCCTTTAAATGCTGCAGGTATAAAAATATATCTCTTTTCAAATCCATTTTCTCCATTTAATTCAGAGATTAAATTCATTAATAGTATAATAATTATACAAACGTATTTTGTTCAATAATTGGTCTTTATGCATAGGACATAGTAAATCTACGAATGGAGAAATAAACGGAGCATTGTCGACATTGTTACACAATGGAAAAAGTTCTACTGCAACAATAAATGGTTCTCCTTCTTCCCGTATATCTTTAAGTTCAAGTATATTGTTAACACCTAACATCTCTTCGACAACTAACACAGCAGCTACCACTTCAACTGTTACAAAAGGTAAAATATTATCTAATCAATTAATAAGAAATTTACAATGATCATAAAATTTATTTATTTTCCTATAGTATCAATTGATTAGTTAAATTAAAATATTGGAAGTTATTTTATTTATTATCTGAAAATGTGTTTTATTTTGTAATAAAGTTAATTATTCTATGATATTTTTAACAATATAATATAATTATTCTTTCTTGTCCTTTATTTCTTTTTTATTTCTTTTTTTTTTTTTTTAGTACATTTGTGGTTTATAAAGGCAAATCTATTCCATTTATTATAAATTACTGTATAAATTTTAATGGTGTTACGTAGTATTTAGAAAATCTTTAAAAGTTTTTTTGAATTTATGAGGAAATAAATTGAAAATTTTGTTAACAAGAGAATTTTAATAATATATATTTGTTATATTTTTATCAAACTCTACAACAATATTATATAACATACACACATCAATATATAAGATATTATTGGTTTTAAATTGTAATTTCATTAGTAATTTTTCTTTAAAATATCATGCATTTGTACTTTTTTTCAGAGTGTAATTAACATGTGTACATAAAATCTCTGGGTATTCTTTGTAAAATATTATAATCTATTATGTAAGAAAAACTAAGGGGATTTTTTATCTATTAGCAAACCGTAAATACTTATACAAACATACTTTTGTATGTATTTATATTCTTTTATAATTGTAAAGTTATTTATGAAATTTTCATAAAATGCATTCAAAGAATTGCATTGTAAATATATGCTAATTTTTATTTTATGTTAAATAAATATTTTTTCACATAATTTGGATTTGTTTGATACCTGTCCCAATCCTCTACGATATACAAGATGAATAGAACAATTCATATCTTATTAATAATAAAATTTTAATTTATTAGTGCAAAAATGGAATAAGTCATTGTAAGTATGGATAACAATGAATGGCAATGTTCAAAATTCATACTACTTTATTTTATAAGTAAAATTAATTTTAATATATTAATAGTAAAATTTAAGTAAATAATGTATTGTACCATTTTATTTTTATATTATTTCAAAATATAATTCTCACGTTACGGTCGTGCCTAAAAAAGTGAAATCCTCTTAGTGTTTCTTTAATAATAAAATCACATAATTTACTGAAATCGTATGTGTGTGTGTCTATATATACATATATTTGAATGTTTTACAATATAATACCTAAAAGCTACGTCTGTATTTTATAGCAATGGAAAACAGAGAACCCTCCAATAGTTCTCAACATGTGGCACTTAATCCTACTCATATATGGGACATACCTAAGATCTCACAGTTATCATCACAAACAGTTTCTACGAACAAAGATTCTATAAGTACAATAGCTGGAAATACTACAGCAATTAATGAAAATATCCAAAGTACCAGAACTACATCTTCATCTGTAACAGTTCCATTCACTTTTCATAAAACTGGAAATAATGTAGCTATGTCTAACCAATTGAAATTGTCTCATAATGTTACAAAAACAATGCCAAAAATTACACTAAATACAAATAACTTACAAAGAATCCAGAAAGGAAGATCACAAACAGCACTAAAGAAAAATATTGTTAATGATATAGATGATGATTTGGGAAATATATTAGACATACCAATAATATTTGCAAAAGATGATGATAGTTTAAATAATGTTGAGAAAGTATACACATCTCAAGCTGCAGATTCTAAAGAAAAATATGTACCAAAATTTAGTAATACTACAAAAGTTGTTCTTATAAGTAACAAGCACGACAAACTTCAACATACTTCTAATAAATTTGTAACTCCTACGACACAAACTATTATATGTCCCAATGTTCCTGTGCAAAATATGAACCACGTAATATTACAAACGCAATCACAAAGTTCAGTAATAAAGACAAAAAGTAGACTTGGATTACCTGCACAGAGCCGTTCGAATCAACCTACTATTAAGTACACTAAAATTATTTTAGCAAAAAGAAATAATACACAATCTTCTCAAGTTGATAAAAATGAACAAGTTCTACTGTCGAAAACTTCTCAGAGATTAAATAAACCAAAAGTATGTATTTTTGAAAAAAATGATCATAAATATGCTCCACCTCAAATAAAATATCAAGAAAATAGTTCTAATGATGTAATTGAAATTGAAGATGCAATAAAAACAAATATTATAGAGAGGAAATACGTTACAATACCTGAAATCGATCTCACATCTCCGACTAAATGCAATGAAAGAGAAACTTCGAATGAACGTGAAGTAAAATTTGAAAATAAAGAACATACCGAACATGCTACATTTAATAGCATTACAGGACTGGAAACATAAGGTACCTTAGTATATCTTCATATTGTTATGTACTTTAAGAAGATTATTGCTGTCTTTAAAGTATGTTAATAAAACAAATGCCTGCCTCAAAAAAATGCTAATAAGAGATATACATTTCAGTGGATATTGAATAAATAAATAAGAATATATATATAGTTTAACTAATTACTATTGCATTAAAAAATTCATTCATTTTTTACTTGTAAATATGTACACTGAACAGACTAAAACAGACATTACAGCAAATTTTGCGTGATTATTTTTATGCTAGTTATATTAAAAGAATGTGATATATCTTATTGTTTAAAGCAAAAATATTAATGCTATACACATGCAATTATATTGAACAAACATGCAGTTAATATTTAAAAAAGACAAAAAAGATGTATACTTGAAATCGATATCAAAGCTTTTACTGCAGTGATAGAAAAGATTATCATTATAAATAATTTAATTTTTTCTATTTATATATTGACTGATATATCAAAGTTTAAATATATATTATTTGTTTGAATATCAATTTTTATTGTGTTCTTGTATACAAAGTAGAATTATTTTCTTCTCAAAGAATATTTTTGATCTTAGAATTATTTACAATGTAGATTATAAAATGTACAAACTAATAGGCTTCACCGTAAAGTAATTATACTATTTCCACTGGTGATATTTAAAAAACACAAAACTATTTTCTTAGAAATTCCATAATAAATATCTTTCACAATTATTTATTAACTTATAAAAATAATTTTTTATCATCATTTATGTGTTATTTTATTTCATACAACATTTATGTATAGTTCTTGACTTATAAAGTTTTTCAACGCACTTATATATTATCTCAAAGTTACTATGAACCATTATTTTATCTAGTCTTATTATAATTATGGTTATGCAAAGTTGTTTCCTGTGACGTTTATACAATATATTATTGTATTTGTATACAACTTAACATATTGTACACATTTATACTGAAAATTGAATCAATGTCATACAAATTATTATGTGTTCTTATATATCTCTACATTCTTATGTTTTTTTGTTTCTTATATTCAATATGAAATAATTTAAGTTAAAGATCTGTTCATTATAATTATATATTTTCATCGTTTTTTTATATGTAGTATATTTAATAAAATTCAGGTGTGTGTTTTATGACTTGGTTTTATTAAAATATAATAATATTAAATAAATTATTTTGTGTAAAATAAAGTAAGTGTTATAAAATTTATTAATAAATATATACACATTATAAATTTATAAAAATGTTTTGTGTAGTCATATATTGAAAATTTGTACAATGTATTGCATGGATACACAAATTAAAAATCATATAATGTAATAAACATTCATCATATTTCACTATAACTTCTTCATAGTAAATGATAATGCAGATAAAAAATATATCTTTAATAATCATTACCAAGCAAAATATCACCATTTTCAGAAGTAAACATGATATGAACTTTTTTACTTAATTCAGGACCAACTCGTCTGGTTGTTGAAAGGGGTCTTACTGCTCTTCTAATCTACAAATATAATAAATATTATTATATTGTATATATAATTATTTTCATCATGATCTATATTATGACTTAAAATATTTTATATTTTTTAATTCCAATCAGAATTTTTTATTACTTACAGGAAGATCTTTTAATAATTTGCTACCATCTGTAGATGTACAATTCATATAAGCCTAAAATACAATATTAAATATTACAAATATAGTTAATATATATCCATTATATATTGTAATAAAAGAATCATACCTCAACTAACTGCGCTGGACTTTTATATACAGAACAAATAGCTTCTGCAATTTCCAGGCTACTCAAATTAAATTGACAAAGTTGTTGTTGCCATAATCTTTTCAATCCATTTCCATCTTTATCAACCCGTACTGTGTCTCTATTATCTCCTGCTATGTACCAATTATATTCTTTGTCAAAATGTTGTTTCTTTTCTAATTTATATGGTATTTCTGCAATAGCTTTAGTATATTGATAAATCATTAATGCTAAGTCTGCTGCATTTTCAATAAGTCTATTATTACACTTATTAATTATTTGAATTTCAGCAAGACACATTTCTAGTTGTTGTTTTGAAATTTCTGGAGATTCCCTATATACTTTAAAGTCTTCAATCTTATTACATGACTTACTCCCTGAACCCTTATTGTTTTTTAATTTATTCTTTTTCTTATAATATAGAAAATATCCTTGAATACCAAAAATAACTAAGGTCATATTATAATCTGGCAATAAAGTCCTTATATAAGAAATACTTGTACAAAAACTATCCTCCGTTAATTTTTCTACTACCTCATTCCAATTCCAAATAACAATTATATGTTTCTCAGTTTGTTTAAAAGTTTTCGTGTATATTTTATTATTTTCATTTATGCTATCTTTTTCTATACTTCTCTCCCAAGTTATACTCTTAGGAATTAAATGTGAGATAAAATTATATGATACATTTGTATCATTTAATGTTACTAGAATTTCTGGATAAAAGTTATATTCTTCTATACGTTTATCCAAAATAACTTTCATAAATTTTATACATTCACCTGGTTTAATATTTTTTAATTTTTTAGCTGTTATTGCTTTTAATGCTTTTTCTTTTATTAAATTATCTTGTCTTTTACGACGTTCTTCTTTTAATTTATATTTACTCTTTTTTATTGGTTCTTTAAACAATTGTTGATTCGTGCAAATATTTTCTTCATATCGATCAGATTCAAAAGAATCAGACATATCATGCGTAAAAGATCTCTTTCTAGAAAGCGTACTTGTACACATTTCATTATTAGTTTCAACATTTGAAATAACATTCAATGATTTAGAATTATCATTTATGGTGCATTGTCTTTGACATGGTTTGTTTGTATTAGTAATATTATTTTTATTAGTAATATAATCAAACTGAACTTCAGGAAAATCAAAATCATCAGATGAAGAATCCTGTTGAGAATTTCCTATTTCTGGATTAATTTGATTAATTATTGATGAATCAGATTCGTTGGAATCACTTAATACGATTACTTCTGACATTTTTATTTCTTTTAAAATTGTGTAATTTTTAAATGCATCAAGATTTTATAAAAATTTTTTCATTACAGTTAAAATTCTTTATCCGTTTTCATAATTGTATAGAAATGACAGTTTTAAAGCATTTTTCCACCAATACATAACTATAAATATAAATGTATAATCGAATATTGTTTCTTATTATAAGTCACATATATATATGATTTATAATATTATTAAGTTATTTGTTAGTATTATACTTATTTAAAAATTAAAGTTATTTATTTTCATACACATGACACTACACGATACTTTTTGTTTTACTAACCTCAATTCAGCACTTTTATCGTTAATTATACTACATGCTAATGTATCTTGTTATATTCTACTTTTTTCTTTTTTCTTCCTTTTATATTTATATTTTCTAGTTACCGAGAAATGATAAATATAACATTTCATATAATAAAAAATGAATTTTCCTCAAATAAAGTGAATTCATCCTGTGAAAGTTCATGCAAACATTGCATATAATAAACGTTGGTAAAATGCACGCAAATTGAATTAAAAAATATGAATTTACAAAATGTTTTATTAGTACTTACAATATTTTTTAATTACTTTAATATCCATGTATTATTATTTTTAATAATTTGAAACAATGAACTTATTTAAAAAAAAAAAAAAGAATTTTTTTTATTGAAATCTAGGTTAATTCTAGCAAAACATTTTTACCTTTACGGTCAGATGTTGATATATTCCTGGCATAAGCAAATTATCTATATTGTACTGTACATATTCTTCTGAACAAAACATGACTCTCAGATCCTTAATCGATAGGATTAGGATTTTCAGATAATAATTGATCATCCGTTAGCCTTTTTAAATAAAAATAATTTTAACCAATGCATATCCTTTACCAGGGAACAACAGAGATGACCTTATATTAAGAAGTTTTAATTCTTGTATTATATCGTTCTATAATTGAATTTTCATTATTAATATATATTTTTCTTTTAACATTTTGCAAATAATTATTTTGAAATGGCATATAGAAAAGTTGATAATGAATTTGAGAATCTTTAAAGTAATAATGATGAATTTTATTTGGTATAATATAAGGTTTATAATAATAATAGTAATTCTAATAGTAGTTCTGATAATGGTAGTAATATAGTTTATAAAAGAAAACTATAATCGAAGAGTATATATATTACTGACGTAATAGAAATTACTGTCTGATATTAAATTATAACAGAAGATATAAATTATCAAAAAATAAATTTCTCTACAGGATCCAAAAATATCATATATAAATTTCTACAAATACAGATCAATTACTTGGACATATTGTAAAAGAATGAATATATATGTCAAGGTAAAAATTACAAAGAAAAATTTGTCAAAATGTGTTCTATCTGGAAAAAAGGGGTGATCATTATTAAATATTTGCATTTACAGAAATTATATTGAAAATTGGTTATTACAAAAATGCCTAATGTAGAGGACTACTAATCATCACTACATTATTTTTTTCTAACATATTTAAAATATAAAGATATCAACCAATTTTCTTTGAATTTTACATCTACAGAGTAATTATAGGAATTAAAGTATTATATTATTGAAACAATCTATTCAAATCATCAATTCAATCAAAAAAGTATGTTAGAAATAAGTAAAAAATTTAAATTAAAAAGTAATAATATTGTTGCTTGTCGATCTATTGAAATACTAGTATAAAAACATGGAAAGATAAAAGAATAATTACAATGGGAATTAGAAATAACTGTTTAAATAGTTCTATATTGTATAGATTCATTTTTTAAGAAAAAAAGCTAAAAAACCTGACATATTTAGAATTTGTACAATGATTAATAGAGCAATTGGTAATTTTCGCGATTTACTTACATCATGCAGTGGACCCTATAATTTTTATCCTAAAATTTTATTCAAAAATGCTTAGTGTTTTCTAATAAAGCAAAAAGTCAAATTCAGGAATCAAGTTACTATTATGATTTTATATCCAAAAATCATTACTTCAATGTCAGTGACCATTTCAAAAAATATCAAACCAAGATATATTTAAAATTTTATGTTCCAAATATATATGAAAGCTATCCAAATATATATGAAGCTAGCGTAATTTTATTAAAATACGAAAATTCACATATTAAAATACGTAAAATTAATTTAATATATTTTATAGAGCCATATTTGGGTGAGCCTATATGTCTTTCTATATGAGAGAAAATGATTCTTAATAAACAGGATACTCATACTACAAGTTTTATGACCGTGATTCGTCAGTATAAGAGTCGAAATATGATAGATTTTTTGATTCTGTTAAAGTTGATATAAAACAAAATTATTATAATAATCATTATTATTACTACTGTTATTATGTTTGCTTACATACAGAAAAATACAAAGTAATCATTCAGTAAAAATACATATTAATAATTATTGAAAAACATTATTATGAATTAAATAAGATAACTTATATACGAAAATAGTAAAAGAAAGTACTTTCAATGAAAACAAATCCAATGCAAATACAATTTAACAATTACGACATATCTCCATCATATTATTACTTTTAATTATTATTATTTAAGAACTTATATATCAATTTTTGCATCGGCTCATCATAGTTTAATTCTCATTATTTATTATTTGCTAAGATAATTTATCGAAGTTTTCTATTATCATAAATCCATACTGATAGTTAAATACAAAAAATATTAAAGGGACATTTATGCCATTTTTTAATATGCACATAACTTAAATTGAATTGTTTAGTTATTTGTATATCAATACACTGTTTTTTTTTCCATATGAATAGAAGTCCAGCTCTTTCTTTTGTTTTGTTTTTTGTTTTTTACAAATGTTACAAAGTTCAGTTTAATATTACTATAAGAGAAATATCACACGCGCGCGTTATTGAATCATTCAGAATTACAAACACTCGTATGTATGTGCAATTTTTGTTTTCATCTTACACTTACCCGTACAAGGAAAAATATGCATTGACCATCATTTTATTTAAAAATAATGGATATAGCTAGGCACTCAATTATATTTACTTTTTATTTGCCTAGCATATATTATGTAATTCTCAAGTCGTGCCACGTATACTCGTGAAAAATGTGCTTTATATATTTTCATAAATTTATAAAATTCTTGAACCTCTTCACACAATTGTACAATTTGGTAATAATCTACTATATTGTCTGCATTACCTTTCTTGCGCTTTTCTTTTTTATTAATGCTATTACAAATATATCACAAATATATATAAGTATATGTGATATACAGTAATTTAAAAAGATTTTATTTTTTATCAATTGCAAGATATTTTTTTTATAGATCAAATCAAAAGAAATTTAATACGGTGGCCGGACGAGGGTTTTCAACTGTATATATTAGTTGATTTATTAATATCGTTATCAATATTGTGTTGTCTACTGTAGTATATTTTCCATAAGAAAAAAAATTGTAGAAAGGATTAAAAATCATTAGATATACACAAAGTGCGTTCATATATATAATTTTCTAATATTACCGAATAATTTGGCATATCTTATAAGTCGTAATCAAATAGAATGCGTACGTAAGCTATATGTATAAACAGAGTATATATAACAAAAATTATTAAGAGATAAAAATTATTATATATTGCTTTTTTAGGATTATTATATGTGTATTTTTAGAATAAATGACTTGTAATTATATTCGAACGATATATAACAGACAAAACTTTACCCTATATAATCAATATAATTTAAAACAAAGTTTTTTAAATATTTGGCAGTAAAAAAAATCTATATCTGGTCCCTTCGTCCGACTGCCGTGAGATTTTCCGTACAGACGTTTTTTCACTACCAAAAGTGAAAATCAATATGATATTTTTTTTGTGAAAATTATTTCACGATCGATTATTACTGCCGTTTCACTGATATATATATATATTAAATAAAGTCCGGCAACACTTTAAATGGTAATTACCATTACCATGTTGTTATTCTAATTATCATTTAAAATATTACTGAACTTTATGTAAACTCTGTATATTAAACATGATATGATAATAGCATTAAAAAAAAAAAAGTATAAATTTTGTGTCTTCGTTCGACCATCAAAGTCTCCTTTGTGAATAATTTTTTCTGTGTATAACATTGTGTGTATCCGTTTAGTTTTCCTTTTACTTTTTTTGTGTTTTTGTTCTTTTTTTATTATACAAATTATCGTGCAGTTCGAATAATAAATATAATGTGTCAAGATTATTCCAAAATGAAGGGAATGAAGTCGTAATTGTTTATAGTATGATGAGAATTCTCGCATTTTATTTCCTTATCTGTGCACTTCTATACTTAAAACACAATCAATCTAAGTCTTACTCTCGTTCTCTCTCATTCGTTACTGACGCTGCTCTTTCACTCCAGCTCGTTTCTTCCAATCTAACAGGCAATAATCAGTTACTGATAAATATTATTCAAGCTATGTCTATGGACTATCGCAAATAGAAACGCATTAGAAATGGTATAAAATGGACACATTTTTTTCCCGCACAAATCTAGACTACTGTAAATAATTTTTTATCTTCTTTTTGTTTTTTCTTATATATATTTTTTTTCATTTTTTTTTTATTTTTTTTTATTTTTTTTATTTTTTTTTTTATTTTTTTAATATTTTCATTATATAGTATAATCTTTTTCATTTCCTCTTCCTTTCTCTATTTTTTTTTCTAATAATTTATTTTACTCTTTTTTTTAATGTTTTCCTTAAACATATGACGCGCATTAATTAAGTAATACAAATTACTCAAGAAGTATCGTATAATCGAAGAGGAGCAGGATTTAGAGAAGAAGGTGCTAACATTGACCTTCAAAAATTTATGCGCTTTTTTCTGTATCTTTTTTTAGGCTTTATCGCCTCCCAATCTGCTTTTCAGTCTTTCATGCTTTCCAATTATCAGTTTATATTCCCCTCCCCTTTTCTTGCAAATCTAGAATGCGACAATCCTAATTAAGATCACTTTGTTATCTTCACTCAATGGCAACGCGAGACAACAGCAGACCTCGCCTGGTAAGCCAAACCCTAATGAAAATGTTAAGAACATCTATTAATCTCCAATAAAAATAGAAGAAAAAATGAATAATTATAAAGGTATATAAATATTATTTACCCAAGACCAGTTCCAATTAATAAGGACAAAACATTCGTGAGGATTAAAGTATAAAGTACTTCTTTAGAAAACAATCCATTTTTACCAACTTTTGCAGTACGAATGCTGTAAGTTTTTTTCTTATTTATACCAAGAGGATGCTTAAATTTCCAGTCCCTGAAAAATAAAGAACAAAGCGTTAGCAATAGATATTATGAAAAGACTAATTTTATCTTATATCCTAGATACTATATATTAAAACTACAAGATGAGGACCAAAAGTTCCTAAGTGATTTAAAAGTTAATTACTCTTTTTAGAGACTATCATATTAACTTTTTTTCAGATTGTAAAACTATAAATCTAATTTTAAACATAAAAGATTCTAAAAAAGAAACAATTTTTAAAATTACTTAACAACTTTCGGTCTGTAAATAATATTTTTTTTAAGCCTCTATTTACCGATTGTAATGTTTCATAAAGACGATATAAAATTTATCTTACTTCGGTGGTGCCTGATCAGGGCGTGAGCTCCACTCGTAAATCCAATCCATACTTTTGTCTAATAGTTCGCCTTCCTACAAAGGGGCAAAAAATTATAATCATTCATATTTAAAATGTGTATGTGATGAGCAATGGATAGAAAAAAAAGATTTTATGTTAATAGCGAATTTTTACGAGGGGAAATAAAAAAACGAAATCGTTACTTTCAAAAGAATATTACCAGGCAGGATATATTATTACATCTATATTAATAGCGACCTATAAACATACTATTTCTGTGTTAGAGTGATAAGTTTACTTAACCAAGATATAACAGGATGTTGAGACCTTTATACATATTTATAAATATAGAAACAGAAATATTAAGTAAAACTGTATAAAAATTAAGCAAATAAGACGAAACAAAAAATATGACCTAAATCTTATTTTTTTCGGCTTTAAACCATTTATAAAACAAAAAAGTTGAAACAAAAATTTCTAAAAATGGACAATTTTAATGATTTCTCTATGTTCAGAAAGAAATTTAATTATTTCTATTTAAGGATAACCTCTGACGTTTGGGCAACCATGTAATTGACCCATTGCTTAATACGTCCTTTATATTGCAATTCAATGTCGTATCTATACTTGCGTAAACATTATCTTTATGTTATCAAAGGTCCCATTTTTGGAACATGTGTGACACAAAAAAAATTATTCTAATCTCCATTGAAAAATATAAAATTTGTACGAGTAATTTATTGTCGGTTTACTTATCTTGATTTTCTTTAGATATCCAGAAAAATAAATAAAAATCTAAGCATGTCGAAAACTTTGCCAAGTTGAATAAATACGACTAAACAAATTCTTAAAATAGTCAACGCATAGCCGGATTTTAGATAAACGCGCAGCAGTTAATGTCAAAGAGAAATCTACTAAAACAAAATTGACATCTTTTTTATTATTTATATGACGCAGTAATAAAACAATATTTTTGATATAATTATGATTCAACATCATGAGAAATAAATGTAATTGAAATTTACTTATTAAAACGCTTAAATGATTTAAAAAAGAGTAAATAAAAAAACTATTTCTTTAAAGAAAACATTAAGGTTAAGTATAATAATCTTGACGACATATATGTTTTAAATCTCAACAATAAATATTATCTCATAAATGTTCTTTACTTCGATAACATTAAACAGCAAATTAATACAATTCATAAAAATTGTTTTTAAATATCAAGTACGATTTCGTAACGAATAACTAAATCATTTTCTAATGAACATTTTTTTTATTCACTTTGTTTACATCTTCAGGTATACTATGCGTAATATAAATATTTTAATTAATTTTTCGGCAAAAGAAAGAAAAAAGAAAACAAAAGAAAAGAAAAAATGATTAAAGATTTATATAAATTTGATGATAAAAAAGAAACAATTACGAAGACAATTTATGAAGAATTGAAGAAGATTAATCAAAAGTGAAATTTGAAGAATATGTAGTTTGTTTTTTTTTTTCTAATGTATCAATTTCATTTTTAAAGTGAAAAAAGCCGCGAAGTTTTCAAACGGCTCTAGTAACGGTTCACATAGCTTGCAAGCAAATATGCGGTTTTACTATTCATAGTTTAAATATACAAGCTTTGAATAATGGAAATCGTTACGTCGAGATAATGTATATGTACATACATACATATATCTTCTTATTGTGTGAATGAACAAATAGAAAAATAGTGTAATATCGCTGAAAACATTTCGAATTTTTTTTAATATCATTTTGATTTTTAATATCAATTTTATGATTTATATTACGTGCTATATTAAAATACACAAATAAACTTAATTCTTAAGTTAATTAAATCAATTAATTTATTATTACTATATTCTTAACTAACATTAAGATTAAATTAGAAGAAAGGTAAAATTTTTAGGTTAAAAAACGGTACTTTTTTTGCTATATTGTCGAGTTCTTTCCTACCTTTTTTTCTCTACTTTTGTACTTTGAAGATAAAACATATACATGACGAAGAAAAAATAAAGAAATATATTTACATACATTTGTTGATTCTCGTTATGCATAACTAATGACGCACATTTTCGTATGTCATTGTAATTACGACATAAATACAGATAAGATGTATTGTAGTTTCTATGTAATTTATATATATATATGTATATATATATATATGCACAATTATATATCCTATCTATAGAAGAGTTTATGAGTTGTAAATAAATCTATGTAAAAAAATCCAAAATAACAAAATAATAAATAAATAAATAAATGAATAAATGAATGACGTAAAAGGGTGAAAACGATATTTAGGGATTGTAATTATATATATATATACATATATATATATATATATATATATATATATATATATATATACACGTAAATACAGCACAAAAAGAATAATGCGCTGTTCCGTCCACGTGACCTATACAGTAATATAGTAATTACAGCTGATATAAAAGAAAAGGACAGTGACGTTTGAGATTCGTTCGTCGACAATCTATGGTAAAAAAGAACATGTGACTGTCCATGTAAATGAATATATTATTTTCAAAATGAACGAATATATTTATATTCGTACGTATCTTTTATATGTGACGTTCTTTTGTTCTAAACGACGATAAATCGTCGATATGACTCAAAATTGATCCGCATATATATATATATATATATATATATATGCAATACTATATGGAGAAAGATCGATTTGTTGGTGTGATGCGCGACAATGTTAGAAACGTTGCGTGCCCTCACTTTAAGAACGGAGTCACCATTACTGCGCATGGCGTGACCGTGTTATGTTCTCTGATTGGTCGAGAGATACTAAACGTCAACATTATAGACAGACTCTCTCTCTCTCTCTTTCTCTTGTTTTTTATAACATGTAGCAGCGACAAAGTTAGCAGATGCGAGGAAGCCACTCATCGAACAGTGACATCGTCGCTCATCTTTCTTTTCATTGACTAAATTCTCTTGAGACGCAGTGCGACGCGCAATCTATACATAATCGCAATAGAACTTCTCTATATTGTACTTTAATGACAATGAAACAATGAACGTATCGTTCTTCCCTCTAGTGGGAATATTTTTCTTCCTTCCCCCAGAGCGCGCCAAAATCAAATATTTTTCATACACCCGTGTATACATGAAATTACGTGTGTATATATTCTTAAAAAAAAAAAAAAAAAAAAAAAAAAAAAAAAAAAAAAAAAAAAAAAAAAAAATTATTTTACATTTTGTTATTATCTTACTATTTTACTTTTCTCTTCATCTTTATAACTTTTTTTTTTACGATTTCTATAAATTATCTTTAAGTAAGATTTTTTTGTTTAATTAATTGAAATAATAAAATTTTTCGAATTATTATTAACCAAGTAATAAAAATGAAGATACGAATTGTAGATTACAGGTAACCATGGCTCACGTGAGATCGAGCACGTATGTACGAACAGAGACGCAAAGTTCAACACTATATATATTGGAAGATACAATGTATGTACACACACACACGTACGCGCGGGTTACACAATCTGTACATCTCTATTTTTTTTGTTTTTTGCTTACTGTTTTTTTTCCTTAGTCTGATAATCTTCTTATAAAAGATTATTTTAATCAAGCAATTGTAGATCGCACTTACTATACATACGAACGTCCGTATCTTATACTTCACGCTTTTACGTTGCTATTTTATTCCTAGCTTATAGATTTATAGATAAATTAAGCTTATCTTTTATGACTTACATATATACATGCAAATAAACACGCAAAACGCGAGGGAGAGATTCTCCGATGTGTAATTATACCTCAGACAATTTCCATTTACGCAAAATAATCACGACAATCTATATGGATCATTTGAAACTAATAAGTTTCCAAATTAAATGGACAATATTTATCTTTTAATGTGTGATAACCAAAAGAAAATAAATTATAAGTAATTATTGACTTGGATCTATATTATGTGTTGTTGTTTTAAATATTATTATATTAATTAATAATAATAATAATTAAAAAAAAAATAAATAAATAAATAAATAAAGCATCCTTTCCGGGATGCGAATACTTCATCTAAAGTTTGTATTCTCTTTTATGGAGTAATTGTTACTTCATCTTCCTCTTCGAAATAAAACAGTAGCATTTTAGCGTATTAGCACACATTCGAAGTGTATTTATTCGCGTGCACTTGCACACATTTACAAAAGTCGTAACGCGGCTTTGGTACGATTTAAACAGTGGTGCAAGCAGTTCAACCGGTTTGTTGCATCGAACGAGAGGAAGAGTAGATAGAAACGAGAATCGTCGAGATTTCTTTTAAAGATCACATGATATGCCTTTTAATTTTTCTTTTATTTTCTTTTTATGTGTACTGTAATACATGCGTATTAATTTCAAAGTAAATCCGAGATCACTGTCTTACGAAATTATGTTTTTCTTTATTTTACATCACGTTTTTATAGACAATTATTTGATGTTTTTAAAAGTAAATAATTTAATTTTCATTCGGATAAATATGCATTTCAAATATATTTCAATTCTTTCTTAAAAGTTTGAAAATAAATAGTTCGAACGTCTTAATTTTGTTTACAAAATATATTCAATCATATTATTCATTTTACAATTTTCTCCCTACAAACTTTTATTAATTATTTATGTAGTAGCAAGAGCAAAAATTGAAATAGTAACGATAAAAATTGTGTATAACAATGTCCTTGATGATAATACGTCTTACATTAGACTCTTTAAACGTCTCTCTCTCTCTCTCACTCTCTCTCTCTCTCTCTCTCTCTCTCTCTCTCTCTCTCTCTCTCTCTCTCTCTCTCTCTCTCTCTCATTAGTAAAAAACGAACGTGAGCATTCAATTACAGGTAATGCAGTGTTAGCTACGTAAAGCTTGAACGTACATATATAATATAAGAAATACAATTCCCAAGGATTAGCGATGCGTGTAACGAGGTATACATTTTTCTATGTAGTAGAAAGGATAAAGTAAGACATATAATATGGGAATAGTATAGAAAAAGTATATAAAAAGTAACATAATATCAAACTTTAGAAATATCTACTATTCATTTCAAGAATTAGAAAGCTTTCAATCTTTTTTATCCTTGGAGTAGATATGATGAAATCAATTTGAACAATATTTTAACTAATAAACAACTCTAAAAAATTATAAAAGACAATTCGAAAAAGAATAATTAGTGTTTAAGCCAATGAAATTAATTTGTACATTTTCATTAATAGAGATAACTCTATAAATAATTTGGAGAGAGTTTCAAAAAGAAACGATTAGTATAAAAAGATCTTAGTTTGATTAAATCAATGGTGATTATTGAAACATGTATATGACAGTTGTTTATTAAATGAATGGGCAAACACGTAGCTAACGGCAGCTGCGAAAGGATTATTAAAAGGACAGCAATGCTTCAATCCAGCTTGGCAACGCTGTTGCGAACCATAGTAGAAGTAGAGATTATAGTAACTTTCACATCACCTTTTGCGCCCCAAGTCTAGTTTTACATGTAGGGGAAGATCAGAAAGGCAATAGTTTGTCGATGTTCCGTTTATAGCAAAACTTACTTTTAAGCGATTCTTTTTTTTTTTTTTTTTTTTTTTAATATTTATAAATTTTTGTGCAGATATTTCGTAGGTTTTTTTTTTTTTTTTTTTTTTTTTTTTTTTTTTTTTTTTTTTTTTTTTTTTTTTTTTTTTTTTTTTTTTTTTTTTTTTTTTTTTTTTTTTAGCAAAAAGAAAATCAATTGAAAAGAAAAACTTGAAAGAACTATATAAATTTAATTTTCTTTTTAAATACCTAAAAAATTTAGATGATCATTTCGTAGCTCCTTGGGAAGAAAAAAAAACTGTGGGAACTATAAAAGTTTTAATTTTCTTACAATTTTCTTTTTCTTAGTAAGGGAGAAAAAGAAAAAGAAACTAAGAAATATTTATGATAAAGTTTTTATCTTCACGAAAAGATTATAACGAATAATATTTTGGTATCAATGACTTACGAAGAAAAAAAGAAAGGGGGAAAATAAAAACAGAAAAAAAGAAAGAAAGAAAAATTCTACGAAATCAAGAAGTTTCACCTCATTATCATCATTACTCACTTTGTAGATAAATGTTTCTTTGTTACTATTTTCGCCTTATTATATTTTTCTCTCTCCCCCCCCCTCCCCCAAGAAGATAAACTCGCCGGACTACTTAAGCCTTCTTATTATCAACACTACGAGTAATCAATACATACATATGTACGCGTGTGACAGAAGAGACAAACATTTCACATGGACATAATTTGAAATACAGGTATATGTAGTCTTTTCCGAGAAATACGTCTTATGAATAGGTAATTATTATTTATCTTTGAGAACTTTGTTTTTTTTTCTACGTAAAATAATAATGCGAAAAATATTCGATAAGAATTGAATCGAATACAGTATTCTTTGTATATGTAGATCTACAAGAACATGTTTGTATAATATTAAAATTATAAATTATTATGATACAAGAATCCGTGTTAGAATCTTTCATAATACATAATAACGTATCGGGAAAGTATAAATGGACACATGACCCTGGTAAACCAGAATGGTCTCTTACTAAAAGCGAAGATCAGAATGAATCGTTGAAATGAATTGGAAAATGACGGCGACGTTAATTCGATTACAATGATCATACGATCTTCTTGTCCTACTTCTTGTCACTAGGTTGTACATATAAGTAACGAGAAAGATGCGAGAACGGTAGATGTAAACCAATTAAAGTAAACGATACCATCTTGGTAAATCTTATCACGAAATTCCTTCTCGATGGACGTACGAGCAAATTGAAACCCTGAGAGAGAACTCTAGTAATAGTATCACAAGAGAAATAGTTAGTGATTTTGTAAAGTAAATTAATAAATTATTTTGATTACATTTCGATATTATATACAATAATAAGTAAGTTTACATACTTGTATATATTATTATCGTACAACGCAATATTTCAATTTCAATAGTACGAAAGTACTTGAGAAAGTGAATTCATTGAAAGAATTTTCATTGAAATTGGTTGATATTTTTGTTAAGTATTCTGACCTACGAAGAGATGTATTATAATTAATATATATACTTCACATTTTCTTTTTTCTGATTATATTGTAAATTTTGAATAATTTAATAATTATCATTAATTAATCGAATATACGTTTTGTGTTTATATTACATTTAATATTTTAAATAAATTTTGTTAAATGCTTTCGCATAATTTATGTAAAATTAATGGAATGTAAAAAAGAATCTTGACTGTACATACATATAGTTAAATAAAAAAACATCTGCTCGATATACATATAACTTTTTTCTTCAAAGCAATTCCAAAGCCATATTCGGTAAATTACCGCACCTATTGACGGTAGAGATGTATACACACAGTCGCAGAGTTGATAGAGTCACTGATCCGAGGACCTTGTAAAGAAGGTAAAGCTCGTTCGATAAAACCAGTTGCATAGTATATATATATATATATATATATATATATATATATATATATATATATATATATATATATAACCTCTCTATTAGTTTGTCGATTGCATACGAAGTAATGTTAACAATCCGGAAGAATAAACAGAATGACTTCGATGATTACTTTCAAATGAAATGTTCGAATGATTTTGATCTTTTGCGAGATTTTTTTACAACGACTAAAGTCCTATTTCCGTTTGGATCGAATGGATCAGGCTTGTGGTTTTTCTAAAGACTTCAATGATCGACCACAAAAGTTAACCATATGTTCGTGTGTACGCGCGCGTAGGTAGGTACTTCGCTTCATTCTGAGATTTATGCGACACACCTCACACAACACGGGTTATTACAATCGATTTTCTAAACTGACCTTGTTGCAGCTGTAATTTATGTAGACCCCTTTGAGCTCATCTTCAGTAGAAAGTTCCGTATTCGGACTGTTAGGTGGACTCTTCGGGCTAAAATAGAAAAAAATAAATTTCTCTTATGATCTATGGATATTACACATTTTTCGATTATATCATTTATTTCAATTATATACATAAATCGGAATTTTTAGCTTTACTTTAACATTAGCAAAGTTCGTTTGGTTTCCAATATCAAAGTCGTACTAAAATTAAATTTTAAGAAACGACAGTCATCATTTTTTCTCCCCTCTCTTTCTTTTTTTTTTTTTTAAAGGTAAAAGACGGTCATTAATTCATTTCTTTCACAAAAAAACATTTCTTTTAAAACGAATCCAAGTAGCGCACCAAGAAACGCTCGCTCCAAAAAAAGATTCTTTCTTCTTCGTTCGTGAGTCATAAAGACGGCTTATTTCTTTCTTCCCCCTCCCCCGCCGTCATGAGAAGAACGAAAAGCGTCGAGAGAAAATAGAAGCTGTTTTTTCTCTACCCATAAAAGACACTGTTATGTAGAACGTTGTGGTGATTATACTATTGAACATCTTTACCTCAACAATATTTTCTATCTTTACGGATTATGTCAATAATCCAATAATGGTCTCATTTATAAAAAATAGAAAATAAAAAAAAGAAAAAATAATAAAAAAAATAAAAAATAAAAAAAGAAAAAAGAAAAAAAGAAGAAAACTATGATTAATCGTCTTTTTGGAGTCACGAGTTTGTAAGCCATAAAATCAATATTAAAGATAACATTTTAACTTTTCTTGACAGTGCTCTTTTTTTATCGTAGATATATGCTTCAATATATTTGTGTAATTATAACAAACAAACAAACAAACAAACAAACAAACAAACAAACAAATAAATAAACAAATAAATAAACAAATAAATAAATGAACATCCACCCGCACGCGCACACACAAAGAACGATTTCCATCTGCTGTGTATTCAGAACGATTTCCATCTGCTGTACATTTAGAATGATTTCTATCTGCTGTTTATTCAGAACGCTTTCCATCTGCTGTGTATTCAGAATTATTTGTGAGACAGAAGCTATTGAAAAGAGAACAATTTTTACCTGTCTCTAGGAGTATCTCGACGTGAGGATGCTAAAGAATGCCTGGCAGATGATTGCGTTGAATCTCTCTGTGCTTCCCTCAGAAGTCTTAGATATTCTTCGCCACCACTGCTGAATGGCAAGGGTGTTCGCCTTTCAGCAGATATCGGATTCACTTCCACCCATGATTCTGTAAATTTTTTAATAAAAATTGTTTACGATTACGATAAAAAGATGTCGATTTTTTTCCGATAAAAATCTTTTATTATCTTTTTTACGAATTAAATTACAATTTAGACAATGCGTGGATTTTGGAATTTATTTCATTGAAATTTAGCAAATCTTTTAGGATAGTGTTTTAGATTTAATATCAGCATTTGTTACTCTTATCTAGACTACGATAGATTAAAGTTTCTCATAAGAACGAACGAACGAACGAACGCAGACCACGTGGATTAAATCAGATTTCATGAAAATTCAAAAGTTATAGTAATTAAAGATAATAATGTGATTAAATTATAGGTTAAAACGTTATCGAACGATAGAGAAATTGATGACAAAGCGAGATCACGGTCAAGGCCCCTCAGTTTAAATAACATAAGTAATCAAGACGATCGTTGCGTCATATTTAGATCTATATTGAGTCTATACACTGACGTACAAAGGAAGTTGTTTTATCGTATCGATTATTGTATGAACAAAAATAAATGAATCTAATGTTTATAAAGCGTTTTCAATTCGAGAATCATCTTTGTATTAATAAAAATGTGTAATATGTATGAAAATTGGATTATAAAACTAAAAATAGTGTTGAAAAATAATCTTGAAAATTGTTGAATTGCCATTAAGAGAAGTTTAACAGTCAAAAATATTGACATTACTTATCGGCCAACCCAAAATATTATTTTTAGGATATATATTACATATATTTATATATACACATGTACATTTTTGTGTTTATTTGAATAAGAATGATACAAACATATATGATCATGCAATCTGTTGTTATCATAATTTATCATCGATATCACGTACACAATGTAATAGGAGACCTTCATCTCAGCTTACAATATTCTCATGAAGTTCTCGTTGTTCATTCCTCGTTCTGTACTTATTATAATTTAAATGTCCATGAAACCTCTTTATAAGCGTAGTTTGATTCTTCGATCTCATTCTCGATTATATGAAAACGCAAACATTATTATTACGTGAAAACGAATAATTTCGTATACTTGAGAATTCGGTTTACTAATAAGAAGTGATGTATGTATTTACACACACACACATACCTAGTTGCGATATATTTCACTTTTTCTTCATTTTCATAATATTCGATAGACCATAAAATGCTTTCGATTGTCGTTAAAAAGAGAAAAACCTGTATGTATGTATGTATGTATGTATGTATGTGTGATCGATATTAATCAGTTCGTGTCACCATCTTTTCTAATTATCACAGAATTACGTAAATATGTTTACACTACATACAAGTATGATGCGTAATTAAAAGCGTTTCTATTTAAAAGCGTATAACTTTCGATATGACTAACAGCTAACACGATGAGATGACTTTTTGATTTTTTCAACCCGAGCAACTTTTTCTTTTTTTTTTTTTTACGAACAGTAATGGATTTTAGAGAATGTTAAAAAAAATTTTTTATTTAAATTGAATACATATACGTATATGTACCTATACAATATATATTACATAATATGTTAATATTTTTTAATATTATTTTTACAAAATGCACATATATTAAAATTTAAATAGACATACACACAAACAAATTTGTAGAAATGTTATATATTATAATTTTGTTTAAATCTTTGTTAAGAATTTTTTAAAAATTTCACTTAGATTAGAAAATAATTTGAAACTACTATACGTTCATTGAAAATAATTTGTATTTTTTGTATATGTATACGCTCAACGAGAATCTATATAAAGAAAAGAAAAAAGAAAGGAATAAAAAACTAACAATAATCAATCAATCAAAAAGAATATGTACGTAATCGATTAATTGTCTTTTTTCTAAGAAATAGAAATGAAGTAAGAAGCACTGAATGTAACGAAACGAAATATATCTATTACCTTCATATATAATGTTCGTTACATGCATACAAATGCTCAAAGAACGCTTATCAATACTACGTTCTTTTAGTATCGTACATACACATGCACATACACATACGCATACATACACACATAAATATGTTGTACATACATACATATATATATATATATATATGTATATATATATATATATATATATATCTCGATCGGTGAAGGATTAGAGAACATACACAATTACTTCTGTAGTTATTCGATTGCGCTGTAGAAATCCTTGTTGGGTTAACGACCGCTCAAAAACAATCTGAAGTAAAAATCGAATTAATCCCAAATGCATTTGAAGAGGATTCACAATTATAGCAATTTTCATTACTTAAAATCGTTTTTATTAATTCTCATTATTTTTCAAAATATAAGCTGGCCCGAAAGTTTCTAGTAGAGCCAAAATTTTCCAGGTAATTTTAAAAATAGATTGTTCTTTTTCGAATTTTTTTCAGATTTGTCGTTCCATAAAATATAAAAAAGAAAATTAGTTTGAAAGTTTGAAACTAAAAAATAATCGATTTTTTAAATCATCTAGAATCTTTTGGTCTATCCTGTAGATAATGATCCAATCCAGACACCCTATATATGAAAAATGCATGAATGGGAAAATTGCTTTTATTTCCCACAAGAATCTAGTCTGCTTACAAATAGAGCTTGAAGATACGATCATCCTGTTTCTATTAGATACATAATCATCTCATCGCGCGCTTGTTCGTTTTTTTTATTTCTAATTTTCAAATAAATGAAAAGAAAAAAAAAATTGAAGAAAAAAAGGACGATTTTCTTTTTTCTTAACCTTTTTTGTTTCTTTTTTTGACGTTCATTTACATTCCAGCATCTCTTTGATCTATTCCACGAAAATTTATGGTATAATTCGTGCAAGCACGAAGAGCTTTTCTAATTATTCAAAATGTTTACGCAAAGAAACGATTATTATAACATCGAAAGTTTCTCTAATTCCTCTAACGTTTCGATAAAAAAGAGCACCAAAAAAGGAATGATATCCGAGAAATCTGAAAGTACATTCGATTTGGATAAAATTGAAAACTGTGATTATGTAATTACTGAAGATCTGGTAAAGATCGATATGAAGGAGTTACGTCGATTGATGAAACTTATGCAACCGATTATGAATCCTCAAAAAGGAGATTATTGCAAATGTTTTAGCAATAGTAATTTTAAAAAAAAGCTAAGTAAAATTGGCCAACCATGAAATATACTACGATATCAAGACATATATATAATGTTAATATATTATTCAATTATACTAGGATAATATATTACCATACTATCCTATAAAATGATATATATTGTATTCTTATATAACGTTAATAAATAATAAATAACATATTTATGGGCGTTCTCAACTAAAATATACTCCGATAAATTATGGTAATATAAATTCATTCGTAATCAATTATAAATCTTATAAATGCATATATTTTCGTACATAAACACTTCTTAATAGAAAAAGAAGTACAAGCTCCATAAATTTTATTTTTCTAATCCAATAATATATAAAGTGGATTCAATGTTAACGCATCATATTTTAAATGGTATTACCATTAATATTTATATCCATTTAAAACTAAAAAATATTTTCAATCAGCTAAAGGCCGGACGTTGAATCGAAAAAGTAGCAGTTATCACGCATGCTGTTTACCAAGCCAAGGCCACACGTGTTGATTCTACACAAGTGTTGTTACGATGCATATTGTCGTATATATATATATGTATATATATATATATATATATATATATATATATATATATATATATATATATATATATATATATATATGCATACATCCTCTTTCGATATGTGTCCAATGCCTCCACGGTCTTTGAAAACTTTTATATCAATTTATCCATGCCAAGATTATCTGACCGATATGACACGTGCATATGATAATAATCCAATTACAATGTTATTTCACACAATAAATAAATAAATTATAATCGGTTATAATAATTTATTTTTCATTTCTATAATTTTCTAATTCTCTTTCATCGTTTCTAAAATTTAAATTAAATCACATTTTTCTTATATACGATAGAAAGTTATTTCTCTCAGTTAATTGAAAAATCTTCGCAAATGAAAAAATTAAAATTCCTTACCGCGAAAACTTTCACCAAATTATTATATAAGAAAAATTATTATAAGAGAGAGTGAGAGAGAAGGATCGATAAAGAAAGAATTTGCGGTCATATAACTTATCCAACTTTCTTACAAGGAACTGAAAAATTCTTTTCTTTTCATGGAAATTTATTCTTTTTCCGGAAAGTATCGAAAGGATAACCTCGCGTGATCAAGTATTTTAAGTTAATCACATATATAAGAAAAAAATAATTATATATATTCCTTGGCAAGGCTCTCTCATTTGTGATATACTGAAAAAAGAAAACTGATATTGCAAATTATCTGTATGATTTAAACCTATAGTTTCGCAATAATTATAAAATGAACCGGAAACTTGCGATTATATTGCACTTCGAAGTTGAATAGAAGTTGCAAGTTATATTCGTTCTAGGTTCATAACTAGGCATATTATTAGAAAGTCAAATAGATAAGACTCTTCTGAGATTTTTTTTATGCGTATAAGGGAATGATGATAAAAATTTTTTTTTCGATATATTGATGGAGAAGATCTCAAATTCTTTTTGAGATTTCACTGTAAAAAAAAAAAAAAAAAAAAAAAAAAAAAAAAAAAAATCATGATCAAAATAATTTTAAATATGCTGTGAATTCTAAATATGTGTTGAAATGATTGAAATAAAGTGTCGCAGACAAAAAAAGAATGACATTTAGTGCGTAAGTCACAATTTTAAATCACAGTACACGGAAGAATTTAAATGAGTCGACAAGAGGTCCACACAGCATTTAAAAATAGAAATCAACTGAATGGCCTCTTTCGCCAGTCTGTCGCCTCAAATACTGTTTAATGATTACACATTGTCTCTTTCTCTCTCTCCCTCTCTCTAATCGATGTTTTTTTTGTCCGTCAAACAAAACAATCAATTTAATTCGTAAAGAAGTTATTTTAATTACTTTTTGCTTGTTTTATCACATAAATCGGAGATTTCAAAAGTGTGGGAGTCGCGTTAAATATTAGTATATATTCATTATAAAAGAGTTTTATATATTGGGAATCGTCGAATGGTATTTTATTTATAAATTTATATATCAATTAAATATTAAAATTTTATATCAATGAAAAAGGCAATAAAACAAATGTCAAAAGTAGTAAATTAATATTTTTTGTATTCAATCCGATTTTTTTTAAATATAAATTGCAACTAAGTAGATCGTAAAAAATTACTGTTTTCGAAATGACTTTCGGTCCGTAAAAGTTTGGAAATCTCTGACACTGTAAATAAATGTATATTTAAACTACATTAAAATGTACATTTTCTGTATATGTAAATATAATATATTAAACTATATTAAATGCAAATGTAAAATTTTAGAGATT